TTGGCAGCTCACTCCTAACACAAGCTATATGGGGAGGGAGGAGTTGTGTGCATCTCCACCCATCCATTTAGGTGGACAGTCAATGAGCACTCTCTTGTCCTCAGAAACCTCCAGCAACTGGGGCCTGCAAGGCTTGCTTGGATGTCTGCTCTTCAGCCCTCTGGCTGCAGAGCATCACCATAACATGCTCTTGTCACCATTTCAAAGTGCTCCAGGCAGGAGGACCTGTACATGTGCATGATGCTGAAGTGCTCCACATCTGAAGCACATCATTGGAATGGGGTTTGGAGAGTATTGAATTAAGCTCGGCCCAGACCCTTAGTGCTATTAAGAGTGACCTACAAAAACTGTTTGGGAGAAGGCCTTGTGACTGTCCTTTCTGACGTTCTGTAAGGCGCCTCCTCCCCACAAGAGGTTTCATTATCAAGTTAGAATGGAAGAATGTCTTGCATTTGAAAGCGTGTCTAACACTATCCCAACTATACAGTTGGTCCAATAAAAGATATCACCCGAAGAAATCCCCATGTCTTGCAGTTACTGAATCATCACAGCTACATAATTCTTGCACTGCCTGGGCATTAAGGGAATTATGCTTGCTTTCATATTTTAAATCAAGATCTTGATTATACTCTGTTTGTCCTGGAAAATTCTGTGGATGGCTCGCAACCTAATTAGATCATGTCACTGAAGCAGGACCTGCTTGTCAGTGTTTCATACAGTGCTGAGCACAATGCAGATCTGATCCTGCTTGAAGCCCCTGGGTACTACAATAACAGAAATAACTATTTGTAATTAATGTACCTATAACACGTTCATGTTAGTAGGTACCAAGGAAATGAAGCAGAGGAAGTAATTTTGGTCCATCTGAGCCAGATCCTCAGCTGGAATACATGCCCACTACTCTGTTAAGCTGCATCAGTTTGCTCCAACTGAGGATCTCCAACTGAGGGGAAACCGAGGCACAGAACCACCCAAGGTGGCACAACCACCCAAGGCAGATCTACGAAGAGGAGCCTCAGGTCTACTAATCCAGCACTCTGCCCATGAGATGATAGCTTCTCAGAAGCATCTATGCCATCCATTGCCTGCTATTGCCACCCTGCTCCAGTTACTACATCCCATCTTCCTCCCAAAGCTGGACATAAAAAGGCTGACAGCCCCTTGCTCTAACTACTACATTGTACTGAGAGTATATTAGTAACCAGTTTAGCTCTTGCGCTCATCTCCACCACACAGCAATCCTGCTGTTTTCAGGATGTTTCCCTTTTCTTTTCAGAACCCACCCCAGCCTAATCATCTGCAAACAGTCATAGAATCATAGAAGTCGGGTCGGAAGGAACCTTGTAGATCTTCAAGTCCAACCCCCTGCCCAGGCAGGAGAAAAAACTGGGCTCAAATGATCCCAGCTAGGTAGGCATCTAGTTTCTTCTTAAAGACCCCCAGGGTAGGAGCCACCACCACTTCCCTTGGAAGTTGGTTCCAGGTCCTAGCCACCATGACTGTGAAGTAGTTCTTACAGATGTCTAATCTAAACCTACTCTCCAACAACTTGTGGCCATTATTCCTTGTTATGCCAGGGGCGCTAGGGGAAACAAGGTCTCTCCCAAACCCTTCTGGTCCCCCCTAGTGAGTTTATAGACAGTCACCAGGTCC